AACCACAGCTCCTAGGGTTTAGCTTGCAGTAGGCAACATTGTCAGAAGGGCCAAAGCCTCTCCAAATGTGGTGCTATGCCCTGGAGAAATCTACATCTCAGGCACTGGTTCTTTTGTTTCATTATTACTCAGAAAGCGTGCAATCCTTCTTTGGGAGTTTCCTGCACTTCTCCTAAGATGAGCAAGCCATGGAAGATTTTCATGGTTCCTACACACACACACACACACACACACACACACACACACACACACATATGTACACACACACACACCTTCCAGGATAAATCATTGACCACTAGGAAGAGTGGGAAGAGTTGGGAAGCCTTGGGCAAAGGGCACATAACAGGAATATGAGCTCTTTATTGCTTGGTTTCCCCATCAGTAGAAGAAGCAGAGAGCACTCAGGCTCTGATGGAGTCATCAATGTGAAAATTAGCAAAAGTGAGTGACTCTGTGAGTGCAGCACTGATGTTGCAGACACAGTGAGTGCAGCACTGTTGCAGACTCAGTGAGCGCAGCACCTATGCAAGGCTGCTGCAGGTGTCTGAGCACATGTCGGCACACTGGAACAACCAACACTGCCATGCACTTGGTAATAACCAAGCCTTTGAAGACAGCCGAATAAAATGAACCCCTGTGCTCACCTTGTAAAAGGAGGGAGACTCTGTCTACATTGATTTTGTTAGGATAAAACACACAGTGATTTTGTATCTGTGTGTGTATGTGTGTGTGTGTATGTGTATCTGTGTGTGTGCATGTGTGTGTATATGTGTCTGTATGAATATGTGTCTGTATGTGTGTCTGTGTGTATGCATGTGTATGTTTGGTGTGTCTGTGGTGTGTGTATCTGTGTGTGTGCAAGTGTGTGTGTGTATTTATGTGTCTGTGTGAATATGTTTCTGTATGTGTCTCTGTGTGTGTATATGTGTGTGTGTGAATATGTGTCTGTATGTGTGTCTGTATGTATGCATGTATATGTTTGTGTGTGTCTGTGTGTATGTTTGTGTATGTGTGTGTGTGCATATGTACACACATGAGCTCAGGCTGCCAGATGAAGGAAAGGCAAGTAGTCTATCTATCTCTGGTTGACGGTGAAAGTCCTTTCCAGGCATGGAAACCTTCGGTATAATACATCTTTCTAAAAGGAAATGTCTACAGAATGCAGATGTTGGTCCCTGCTCTGACGGGGGTGGGGGGCAGTTGCTAGCATTTGAGCTGGCCTCTTTATTCACATACACAGAAAAGCTGAGAGCGGCAGATCTTCCTTCTGTCATTGTCAGTCTGACTGGCTGGCTTAGCAATATGAAACTGAGAGTCACGAGAATCTCGGGGTTTCTTAGGCAGAGACTCACCCTCTGTTTCAGGGATGCCCCATGTTCTCGTGTCATTTCTAGAGAGAATGGGCCCTGCTAGTTGTAGTGGTGCATACCTGTAGGACATGCTGAACAGGGTGGTCTTCAGAGGCGTGCTATAAATCCTGTCTTTAGTGTCCTAATTAATGAGAATGCTAACATTCACACCATGATGGTTCAGTGGTTAAGACCCACACTGGTCTTGGAGAGACCTGAGTTTGGGTTCACAGTAGCCATGTAGTGCATCCCACAACCACCTGTAATGCTCCAGGAATCCATTCCTCTTTCCTGGTCTATATGGACACTGTAGTCACATGTGCAAAACCACACATATACACACATAATTAAAAATAAAAGTAAAATCACTTTTCAGGAAAAAAATTGCTAACATTCTTCATCTGGAGTATGTGTGAGAATTGCTTGAGGAATTTACTAGGAGGAGATGCCTGACCTCTACACCTGGGCAAATATTGGGGATTTTTTTTTATTAAAGACACAGGGATTTATAATTCAAGGGTCAGCACAATTAATATGGTGATAGCCAGGATCCTGGGCCCACTAGAGACATGCACTGTCATACACATGTCATAAATGTATGTGATACACTGACATATGCATAAACTGTCCTACATATGTCATAAATGTATGTGATATACTGACATACACATATGCTGTCATACATGTGTCATAAATGTATGTCATACACTGACATACACTGACATGCACATGTCATAAATGTCATACATTGACATACACATGCACTGTCATACATGTGTCATAAATGTATGTCATACACTGTCATGCACATGTCATAAATGTATGTCATACACTGACATACACATGCACTGTCATACATGTGTCATAAATGTATGTCATACACTGACATACACTGACATGCATATGTCATAAATGTATGTCATACACTGACATACACATGCACTGTCATACATGTGTCATAAATGTATGTCATACACTGTCATACACATGTCATAAATGTATGCCATACACTGACATACACATGCACTGTCATACATGTGTCATAAATGTATGTTATACACTGTCATACACATGTCATAAATGTATGTCATACACTGACATACACATGCACTGTCATACATGTGTTATAAATGTATGTCATACACTGTCATACACATGTCATAAATGTATGTCATACACTGACATACACACAAACTGTCAGTCTTCTCCCTAAAAGCTAAATCCTAGTTGTTACTTGTGGAACTGTGTGTAAAACTGGCTAGCTAAATAACTTACAACAATTTCCTGCCTTATCCTATCAGTCTGGGAGGATTGTAGCAGGTTCAGAAGAGCTTCCGTGGGATCCTCTGCACTCACACTAGCTGCTACTCTGAGTGGCCGCTCAGCATCTCTGAAGACCGGTTCCCTCATCCACCAAGCGGGAGCACCTCTGCTCATCCCGCTGCCAGGCAAGGCTGGTGCATCTGGAATAAGTGACTTACGTGTAAGAACCATGCCCGGTATTAGAAAGGCACCCAGTGATGATAACTGTTCTTGTCAACATGAGTTAACTGAGGAAACTGAGCAAGTGCTATTGAGAGAGCCTTCCTCTTAGTGCCCATGTGACTAGATTCTTGGCCTTGCTGCATATTGCTCTCTGAGATCCCGATAGCATGCGCCCTCCGTCCCCCAATTCCTGTAGAAAATATGAATTTGGAGGCAAATGCAGGTTTTCGAGAGAGATCTTATCTGGTAGATAAAGGAATGCAGATGGCTTCTGATGCTGGATTCCCTGCTTCTTGACATTCTTGGGATCCAGGCAACCGCTGCCTCCCGCATGTGGGTCACATATGTGTAGCTTGAAACCACACCTGCTCCCGATCAGAACCTCACAAGAACCTTGATCTCTAGAAAATGGGATCAGAAACTGGTTGTTTGCACTGTCTTGGCCAAACCCTTTTCAGCAAAATGAGATGGTTTGGGGAGGGCAGGCGGGGGGGTGCATTCTTCTCAGAACAATGTGCTATTATACATGGCAGAGCACACAGCCAGCTTCTGGCTCTATCGTCCTTTCTACATTGAGTCTTAGCAGTCTCGTGTTAGCGGCCCAGGGGAGTTTTCCTAAATGACAAAACCTTTTAAAAATGTCACTGGTCTTTGCATTGGTTGATCAAGTGTAGATTCCCTAATAAGTCATGTGGATTCTAAGGCTCTTCATTGGACCAGGAAGTCGCCAGCGATGCAAATCTATTGATAGTCTATGGCCAAGGTAAACTGCAGAGGCACAAGCCCTTGTGGTTGGCTGAAACCCGGTGTTACCTCACTGCCTCCCTCCTTCCCCTCCACAGTTCAGGCTGTGCACCCTACTCTGAGACCAGGACAACCAAATTAACATTGATTCTCTGACAACTGTGCCCTGCAGCAGACAGGATCTCTGTAAACCCCTCATATGCACTGGACCTAGTTCAGTCTCCTTTGACTGGCAGGCAAGGAAGCAGGTCACATGCAGAGGGATCCAGGCTTCCCAGAGTGTTATTATTTTTAAATTGTGTGCTCATGGTATGTGTGAGGATCTGCATACGCCACAAGACTCTCATAATGGGCCTCCAGTGGATTAGATGAGCCCCCAAATTAAGATGGAAAACGTTCTCTGAAGGTGGCAATGAGACGCTGCCCCACACAGCCTAAGTAGTTACCAGTGCATGAGCGTTCTGCTCTGAGAGGGGGGCTGGGGCATACAATACAGCTAGGAGAGGAACCAAACAATCTGTAAGAAATGGTCTCCACCTGCAAGGAACCATGGATTTACAGGGAACTCTTGCTGGAACGTGCTAAGTCAGCAAAAAGATACCACAAGTGCTGACTGCAAATTATTAAATGAAACAAGATTGTAATGACCCAGTGTGCAGTCCTTGAAACTTTGAAGTGAAAGGCAGAGATAGCATGGTCCGAATGAACAAGCACATGCATGCCCCCAGTGGACTGTCAGAGCTGTGTCCCCAGTGGACTGTTAAGGCTGCCACTGACCCACACATGTGTGGATACAAGATTGTGGGGTACGGTCTGTGTGTCCAGATCATGCTCATTGAATGGCCGAGTATGCATCTCCCTAGTCTCATGGATCGTTTACCAATAAGGTCCATGAGGGTGGTTGGTTTGGGATGTCGGTGTTCGTTAAGTTCCCGGCTATCAGGAGGTAGATCAACTTTACTTTGGGTGATTCAAGGCTTATAAAGTTTTGGGGGACCGAGGGTAGGAACATCCAGGATAAGCAAAGGCTGAAGGCTTAGAGAACTGAAAGGCCTTATTAGCAAGAGGAAGCATTTCAGGAATCTCAGGTGCCAGCTGAACAGGTTTTATCAGGAGAAAGGAAATTGATCCTGTAAATCTAACTGAGGCTACATTTCATTCCTCTGGTAGAGGTGTGGGGAAGGGGTGGCTTAGAATTCCCCAGACAAGGTCAGAGAAGGAGAAGCCCCTGTTAATGAAGGGAGTCTCCAATATTGTGCCAAACCCAGGGGCTGTCTGGTTAGGGTGGACTTTGACCTTACGTTTTCCCACAGGTGAGCGGCTCATCCGCCACTGTGTGGTGGGGATAGTCACGCATCCTTGTACAGACGGTTTCCTGGTAATGCCTCCTTCTCAACCGGATCGTTTGCTGTTTCTTTCCAGTGGCCCATCCTCAGGATCCTCACCACTCCTCGGAGAAGCCTGTCATTCACTGCCATAAATGCGGGGAGCCATGCAAGGGCGAAGTGCTTCGGGTCCAGACCAAGCATTTCCATATCAAATGTTTCACCTGCAAAGGTACGGTACCTCTAGCCCGCTCAGTACCTCCAGCGCCCGCTCAGTAAGTACCCCAGTGCCTGCTCAGTACCTCCAGCGCCTGCTCAGTACCCCAGTACCCGCTCAGTACCTCCAGCGCCCGCTCAGTACCCCAGCGCCCGCTCAGTAC